TTGGGTACTTGATAATTTTTTATTGTACTAGTTTCTTACTATTTACGTGATTTTTTTTTAGGTTGAAACTGGTGCATTCTTTCATTCTATTAATTGTAAAATACCTTACTAGTGTGACAGAAGTGTATATAACGGAAAAGTGAATGTAGGTGTTGGTGTTAATTACTGCCTGTAGGCTCGTAATACTTACATAGGATTTTTCTCTTAGATTGCATTCTTCACAGCTTTTAAACCTTTTGCGCTCCTTTTTTCTAGTAGAGTGTTGGGTTTTGTTGCTTCATTACAAAAACTCCTCCTGTTGCTGGCTTCTTGTTATCAGAATTTTTTTTTTGAATACTGTTATCATTAGTGTGCTTTTATTATCTAATTAGCTGTTTTATTATGATCGAAAGTTCTGAGGAAATTTTCTATGATGGTAACTCTTTGAAGCCGGGCTATAATACAAGTAAGGTTAAATAAAAAATAATTGTTGGAACTAGTTAAATTTTGAGCTTATATTCATACGTAATCTAATTTATACATTTTATATGCTACATTAATAGGTTATTTACAAATACATGATGATTTGTTATCTTGTACTAACATTGAACAATCATCCTTATATTCAAGAAAAAAGTTTGCTACATGGGAATTGTGTGAATCTTTTCTCAAGAAATGGGCGAAGTTTCAAAGGTTTCGTATAATTAAGGATCGTGTTCAACGTGATAATAGTGATGTACGACGACAAACTTTCATATGTGATCACAGCCGTACTTATGAACTGAATTCCACGAAAGATACAAGCACAAAAAAAATAAAATGTCAATTTCTAGTTAATATATCATGCCTTAAAATCCATAACTAAGAAAATTCTGTAATTGTCAATAAAATTGTTAACGAACATAATCACTTATTGAATCCAAGAAGAATCGAATTTGAAGATAACAAGAAATTTAATGATGAAATGTTAGAAGATGTGAGGTTCATGACCTTGTTCTGTAAATTTGGAGCTACATCTCAACGAAAATTTCTCGAAGGCAAATATTCTACTCAACCGATTTATTCAAATGATTTATATGCCGCTATACAAAAATTTAGGCCTAATAGTAAATCATTGTTGAATGATGCTGTACAGGTAATTCATGAGTTGTGAAAAATATTTCATTTATTAGCAATTGTTTGTGGGCACATCAGTTTATAGTATTGTAATATTGATGTGTCATTAAATAATAGTGGAGTAGTCTACTATATATCAATAAATTATAGACTTAATAAGAAATATTTTTAGATCTCAAATTGGCTTGATAACAATAAGAATATAGATTTGCGTTGGGTTGTTGTCAGGGATTGGTATGATGACAACACATTAACTCGCTTACTTTGGATGACACCAATGCAAGTAGAAAATTGGATCCAATACTCTGATTGTGTTTTGAATGATGTAACACACAAGACCAATCGATATGGCATGGCCTTGTCACTGTTTGTCAGATTTGATAATAACAGACAAAATGTCTTATTAGCACAAGCACTGTTGATTGATGAAAGTTTTGAATCACATGCATGGATGTTCCAACAAATAATTAAAGCCACGAATGTCTATCCTTCTGTAATACTGACCGATACAAACCCAG